AGTCAGGCAGGGCTAGCAGGCCCACTCTCTCCTGCCTTGTTTGTGTGTTGTCTAGAGCACTTTGCTGAGTCCATCAGGAAGAATGTGACATGAGAGTGATGTCTATTCCAGGCAACAGAGGCTTGCAAGTCAAAGTCTCCCGGTGCACGGATGACGTCGCCATTTTCTGCTGGGATCCGATGTCGGTGCATAGACTCATGAGCATCTGTGATCAGTTTGAAGTGGCCTTGGGAGCCAAGGTAAATCAAGGCTGGAATAAGGCCATGTTATTTGGGAACTGGGCTAACCAATCCTTTATCCCTTTCAAGGTCAGGACAGGTTATCTGAAGGTGCTGGGAATATGGGTTCGGGGGGGCCGTACCTTGCGCAAAATCTTGGGAGGAGTGCATCGCCAAGGTGAGGCAGAAACTGGGCTTTTGGTGCAGGTCTGGCCCATTCCCTGAACCTGCACCGTTGCAATCACCCAAGCCTTCTTCCACTTCATCTGGAGGTCTAAGATGAACTGTGTCTGCAGGGATACCATGTACAAAACTCTGGATAACGGGGGAGGAAGAACATACACAATGCTTTCCTCATTCTGATGGCCACGTTTGTGTATGGCTGCATTAAGCTGCAGACCTTCAGTATGCAAATACCAAGTATCACTATGTACTGAGATTCTACCTGTCCCCAGTGTTGCGAAGGATGGGACTGGCCTCGTTGCCATGTAATGCTGCAAGTATTTGGACCATTCTGTACCACCTGTCTTTTGGGGAGAAATTTGCAAAGGGAAACATCTTTGACGACTAGTCCAGCAGGAATTGGACAGCACGTAGTGTTCTTGAGACACTGCAGGAAAAGGTGAGGGTGGATCCTGTGGGGTTGTTCCCTGAGCAGGCTGTCAAAGTCATTTGGCAGAATGCCTCATCACCAGAACTTACCAACAAACACCAAAACATCATTTGTTGGTGATGAGAAGGGCACTATCTGTGAGGCCTTTTTGTACACCCAGATTCTCTGCGCCACTGCAGATTGCCCTCGGAGTGGCTGTGGTGAGGTTGAGATTCTCACACATCTCCTTCTGGAATGTGCCTTTGCATAGGACGTCTGGAGAAAGATGCAGTTGTTTTTGTCATGGTTCATCCTAAGCAGCTCCATGATGCAGGACTCTGTGCTTTACGGTCTGTTCCCCAGGACATACATCAAGACAAACATCAACTGTGCCTGGAAGACCATCAGCTCGGTGAAAGACACTCTTTGGTGTGCCCAAAACTGGTTGGTCTTCCAGAGCAAGGAGTTAACCTCAACTGAGTGTTGCAGACTGGCAAATTCCAAGGTCGAGGACTACGTGCTGAAGTGTGGGGCAGCTGCTGCCAAGACACAGTGGGGAAAGACCACCATCTTATGTTTGTCGTCATAGTTAAATGGGGATCCGTTCGCTTATCTGACCCTCCCGATGCCTCAGATATATGTAAATATAGTCTGTACAAGTAAAAAAGTGCCTTTGGTTTGTTTGCTGGATAGAGTTAAACTCCAATGGTTGTTACTTCATATACTACTGTACAGAACCAAACTGCTTTAGTGACTATGTATGTATCTAGATATTTTGATGACTAAAGGTATTTTTGAAATTAAAAAAAAAGTTCATTCCAAGGTCCAGGACTATGTGCTGAAGGATGCATTAAAGCACGGGGCAGCTGCCACCAAAGCGCAGTGGGGAAGACCACCATCTGCCAAATTGGTTAAATTCAGTTATTGGACCTTCCTGGTTCCTCAGGTGCATGTAAATATAGTCTTGTATAAGAAAGAAATGTGTTGGATTTGTTTGTTCTACATATGTAAAGACTGTATAGAATCGAACTGCTCTAGTGACTATGTATGTGTGTAAAAATACCTTAATGAATAAAGTATATTTTCAAAATAAAAAAAGTTATCTGGACCAGACTTATAAACATTGTGGTGATAAGTGCAGGCTGGGAATACTGTGGCATTACAGTGACTCCCTGGCTTTCCAAATCCCATCAAGCATTTACTGATTGAATACTCTTCATTTATCTAGATAAGTTGCCACAGTTCCAGCAACACTCAAGAAAATAAACACCATTTCGAAAATTGAATCCAAAATTGGCATATTGGCAGGAAGCAGAGGGTAATAGTTGAAGATAACAAAGTGTAGAGCTGGATGAACACAGCAGGCCAAGCAGCGTCAGAGGAGGAGGAAAGCTGACGTTTCGGGTCGAGACCCTTCATCCAGCTCTACACCTTGTTATCTCAGATTCTCCAGCATCGGCAGTTCCTACTGTCTCAGTAATAGTTGAAGGATGATTTTGTGACTGGAAGCCGGGCGTAGCACAGTGTTCAATGCTAGGTCTCTTGCTCACTGTAGTGTACATTAGTGAACTAGACGTGAATGTAGGAGGTATGATCCGTAGGTTCGCCGATGACTCGAAAATTGGTGATGTGCTAAATAGCATGGGTGAAGCCTTACACCACGCAATGACATAAATGCTGGTCAGATGTACAGAACAATGGCAAATGGAATTTTAATTTTGGAAGTGTGAGGTGATGCTTTTTGGGAGCATGAACAAAGCAAGGGAGTACGCATTGAATAGTAGGACCTAGGAAGTACAGAGTATCAGAGGGACCTTGGCATGTGCACAGATCCTTGAAGACTGGAGGACAGTATATAAGATGGTTAAATATGCCTTTGGGATACTTGGTTTTAATTAGTCAAGGCATTGAACACAAGAGCTAGGATAATATGATGAAGCTGTGTATAATGTTAGGCCAGAGCTGGAGTACTGTGTGCAGTTCTGATTGCCACGCAATTGGAAGGATGTGATTGCACAAGAGAGGGAATAGTGGAGTTGCCTGGGCTGGAGCAATTCAGTCATGAAGGGACACCACAGCCGATAAGGCTGAGGGGCGGGAGGCGGTCGGATGCGATTGAGATGTACCAAGCTCTGAGAAACATAACTGGGGGCGCAGTTTTAAGGTAAGAAACAAGAAGTTTAGAAGGGATTTGAGGGATAAAAACCTCTGTAACTCATTGCCTAAAAAGATGGCAGGACCAGGAAGCCTGAAGACCTTGAAGAAGGATTTAGATGAATACTTGAAACATCATAGCATAAAAAGCTACAGCCAAGTGCTGAAGAACAGGCAGGACAGTGGTTAGCATTGCTGCCTCACAGTGCCAGGACCCTGGGTTCAATTCCAGCTTCAGGAGACTGTCTGTGTCAAGTTTGTTATTCTCCCAGTGTCCGTATGGGTTACCACTGGGTGCTCTGCTATCTCCCACAGTCACAAAGATGTGCAGGCTTGGGATATGGTGGGTCTGGTGGGATGCACTTTGGAGGGTCAGTGTGGACCCAATAGTCTTCTACACCGAAAATAAGATTTGAATTGATAGATAGATAATTGCTGACTGGCACCTAAAGGGTATCCTTCCAGACTGTAAAAACTCTACTCATTTGGCATTTTACCCCCATCCCCAGCTGGAGTGTACCCTACCCCTACACGTGCTACCCTTCCTAACATCACACTAATGCGCTATTTGTTTGACAGTGGCTGTTAGAAGTTAACGCCAGTGTAAAGGGCTATGGCTTTCCACTTCAGTTGTGCATTAGGAAAAAACTGTTAGAATTGAAGTACAGCTCTATATTTCTGAAAGAAATCTGATTAGAATCTCCTTTAAGAAATAAGGAACTCAGTCCTTCCGTAGAACAGAATGCCAGGAGTTGCAATCGGAGAGATCATCACTCTGGAAAATTGAGCCCTAGGGTTCTAATACCTAAATTTGATGAAAGGTTACAGATTTGATTGTTAATGCTGTTTCTCTTCTGACAGATGCTGCCAAACCTGCAAAGTGTTCCTAGCATTTTCTGTTTTTATTTCAGATTTTCAGCATCCATTTAGGTTTATTTCAGTTCCTGAATCTGGCTTTGCTACATCTCATGACTACTTTCCTTGTCAGCTGTTCTCTGGTCTTCTACTGACTATTTAAGAACATCGCTTGGACAAAAGCCAGCTCATTAGTTTTATTTTTATTTTGTCCGACACTGCATCATCCTTCTGATTTTTTAACTAATCGCAGCTTTTAATTCTGTATGTTTTGTCTTCTCTAGTTTGTGCTCAACCTCACACAAGTTTATTAATCTCTGCTCTACACTTCTCACCCAGCAGTTTTTCTCTTAATTTTGTTATTTTCTGTGATAATCACAGAACGATCAAAGCTTTCAAATCAGGCTGTTTTTAATTTGCTTTTCCGTCTGTAGCCTTTCAAAATATTCTGATATTTCTCAACAAAAAAGATATGATGTTGAAGCTTTTCAGCTTACACTCATCAGGACAGATGCAAAAATACCAAATTTCAGAGGAAGCAACTATTTATATTGCATTTGTTCAAGGTGCTGCTTGTTATGTTTAACAGTCAGCATGTTTATATACTTTTCAGAGAAGTGCATATATTATCATAGTGTGTGACCTGAGGCTATAAAGATCTCATACTCCAACTTAATTTGGATAATTTGAAGCATGTAACTGTACTAGAAGCATGCTCCTATTTTAATGTGATCTAATATTAAGCCCGGACACACATGCCTGAGGAATGTAGTGTATGTAAATGATAGGTGTAATAAATGTATGTTGAATTCTTCAAAACGGCGATATCCACATCCAGTTTCTTTTGTTATGGGAAGTAACATAAGGATTGCCATTTCAAGTAAGTCACCCTGTTGGAGGTACCCATATTGGGTAGCTGAGAAGTTGGCTCTGATAGGTTGAGAAATTTCCATAGAATTCACCAGGGAACTATTGTCCACCATGCTTTTGCTTAATTCAAAAAGGCTCAATGCTTGGACATGTGCCTTATTCCTGCAGAGGACAGCTCCACGTGTATGAATGCGTGTAGAACAGTTGCTCATGGAGAAGACAAATTGGTGTTAGCTTTGTATTCCAGGACAATCTGGAGTAGGAAGCAGTTTTATAAAACATGGGGAGGGTAGTCCAAGACATTGAAGAAATTATTTAAGAAATAATAGTCTTTATTTTCAACAATTACTATCTTGGTCAGTCGACTGACACAGTAATGAGGATCACCACAGGCATCCATAATCATACTGTGGACTATGTAAAGCAAAATCTCATTTACAGAAATCCAATTAAGGTGCAGTTGACCAAAATCGATCCTTGTTCATCAGGGTATTCATGTTCAAATACGGTAGCAAACTGCTCAACAAACTGAAGTGTTCTGCAATAATGAAATGTTCCCTTTTAAAATCATGAATCAATGTGCTTTCAGCTGGATTAAAAAAGACAACTTTGGGAAATGCAGGGAGCTGAACAGGATCCTTTATCCTCTCTCGAACTGCAGTGCACAGATTCATTCCTGAAGCTGCCAGTTGTACTGGGATGTATAGGGTTAGAAGTCCATTGAGCTGTGGGCCAGGTAGTCCTTCCGTCCAATGTTGCTGACCTGCTTTGTCTGCATGGCCTCCAGTTTCGGACAGTCTGTGATACGATGGCCCAAGCCACCACAGAAAGTACAGCCTCTTTCACCTGCACAAAGAATCAGAATTCCACACAAATATTAGCAAACATTTTTCCATCAGATCTCTCTGGAGCTCATGCAGCATAGATTTAAATACTGCCTACACAGGAAGATCTGCCTCAGAGGCAGCACGAGCCATCAGCAGCATGACCAAATCTAAATATTACAATCAATCAACAGGCTCTTTATGCATTTTGCTGAGGTATTACATCAGTGAGAAATACTGACATTTATCCAACAGCCTTAAGCTGCCTCTAGCCACATGGAAAATATTCAAGCAGGTTGGGAAGAAGTGTGGACAATGCTGTGAGTGAAGCAGTAGGAAATACAAGGGAAAGCAGAGTGGTGGACAGGAGGGGTGGGTGATGATGGTAGAAAACATGAGGGGGACTGGAATGTATGGTTGGGGTAGACTATCAGGAGTATGAAAAAGGTATGGCACCAAAGATGATATTGGTCAGAGGGTGTCATTTGAGTGGGAGGGAGTTATTAGCAAATTTCACGTAAAGCAACTTTCTCAATGACGTGTTTCTTGCTCCAGAGTATGGAACCCAACATGTTCAACAGGCGTGTTTGAACATATTGAAACGTAAACAATTTTTTGGACTGCTTCATCAACGTTATTCTGAGACTATTAGATCAGAAGAGGGATTTAAATTAAACAGTAGAAGGCAAATCGATCTGTAAATTTCCTCTCTCAGGCAGATCATCAGACCAATTCCAGAGGCAGAATGTATTGTTTCAAATCATGCCAGTATTATAAGGCCCAACATTATAATTCTTGGTTTTAGCTGAGGAATGCAGAAAGCCCAGGTGTTTTCCGCAAGGGAGACAGAGGAAAACAAAATAAAAGAGGAGATTTTCATTACTGGTTTCATTGCCTCATTAGCAGAGGCCAGCCAGTGTGCGGAGCTTGTACAGATACCAGGAAGAAATTTAGTTTTGAAAAACTCAGATCTTCTGAAGTGTAAAATGAAGCTGTTAGTCATCACTGGAAATGAGCTTCTCTCAGCACAGCCTCATGGTACACCACTCAAAGCCCAGTATCTCTTGGAATCTTACTATGCATAGAATGACTGCTGTGTTTCTCTACAGATGTGAAGGGTGATTATGGTGCAAGACATCATATCTGGCTTTTCCAAGTTGGACAAATGAAAGTTGAACAGTTAAAGCTGCTTGCCATTTACAGCTGACATACCTCCAATATCCAGCATAGTCTCATCTCCTGTCTGAAGGACTTGAAGAACAGGTGGGACTTTCTGCTTAGCTTCCAGCAACAGAGCCTTCAAGTCCATCAACACTGACTCATCTGTGAAACATACACAAGTGAGCCTCACGAACACGAAAATGCACTGATACACTCTAAGAACATACATCAAGTTTTTTTTACCCCCAGTATATTCAATACGTATACAAGTTTGCCCAATGCAACAAGACTGCAACCAAGCAGAGTTACAGTACAAACTATTCACAGGTTATTAAATATTTATACACCCTTGGCCACAGTGCAGCTTCACAAAAACGGGCTATCAAGCAACACTCATCTTTCATATGATCAATCTATCCATCAATTGAGATACAACAGTGTGCAGGCTGCATGTGTGTGCTAGCATTGCAACCAAAATAGATTTTGTCCATGCCTTGTCTTCACATACACGAGATTTGTAATGTGAGACAGAGTGTCAGAGTAGAAAACCTTGCCCTCCTGAATCCTTGGTCATTGTATCTCCTCCCTACCAGCCAGACTGAGGGCAGTGACTTAGCCAAGAATGGAAATGCACCAAGGGCTGTGATTAATGAATTAAAGCATTCAAACAAAATAAATTCAAACCTTCACTAGAACAGCGTTAAGTCTGTTTAAAATTTTCTGAGGTTGTATTCACTCATTTCCTGTTCTCTGGACAGCACAATGTGTGTTTATTGCCTATAATTACTCCAAAAAGGGGGTCAGTTAGCTTAGTTGGCTGGATAGCAGGTTTTTAATGCAGAATAACATCAACAGCATTGTCTCCATTTCCACACCAGTCAAAAGATGAATGAAGAAAAACTTACCACATGCTTTGTTGATGAATGTTGTGGCTATCCCAGTTTTCCCTGATCGTCCTGTACGTCCAATTCTGTGAACTGAATATAAAGGATGTGCTCGGATTGAAGGGATTTTCAGAAACAAAGTGACTCAGACATTGGTAGAATACATCATCAATACAAAGATCAGCATCATACAGGCAAAGTGTACTGAGTGAAGGAGTTTATTTGAATTTGACTTGTCACACTCTGGCATCTAAAGCATTATATGTGAATATATGTTCACGTACCAAAGTCTGCTTCAGTCAAATCCCCAGGGAGCTGTGCATTAAGCTCCACTTATACCATTAAGCACAGTGATATCCTACTCCTTAATTTACCATGATTTCTGAAAAAAATCCAGAAGGAGCTCAATTATGTTTCGGTGGAAGAAATGAGAAAACAAAGAATTTTAAATTAAGCAAGCCGATCTTTGATGAGATAAGAAATAAACTGCTGACAGTAAACTGGGCTGAGCTGTTAATTGCAATCATACAGACAATGGAAAACATTTGAGGTAAAATCAAACAGTACATGTTTTGTACTGTACAGAACATGGCAGTAAGCGGCCATGGTCAAAAAATAATATGAAGTATCATCCAGCTAAAAGCTTTACACTAACGGAAGCAACAACTGAAGCCTAGGAGATGGAGAGAGTTATAAAGTGCAAAACAGGGATAAAACATCAAGCAATAAGAGATTTAGAAGGCAAATATCAAAGCTAATATGAAAGTTTTACAAATATTAAAGAAAAAGTGGTAAATAGTAAAGAGAGGTATGGTACTGGAATGGATAATACAAGGAAATCTAAAATAATTCAAGGGAAGAACTTGCTGCTTTTAATGCAAGGTTAAACTATGGGAATGGAGAAAATAATGGGACTTAACATGGACAAACCCATGGAGAACACAGGAAATGGGAGGCAGCTATACAGGCCCTTTGAGCATTCTCCACCATGCAATGGATCATTCTTGATCTTCAACTTCAACAGCACTTTCCTTCCAATCTCCATATTTTTTGATTTCCTAATCTAAAAATATTTCTTAGCAATGAATTTACTCAATGATACTGAATGACTGAAAATCACAGCTTTCTAGGGAACAAAAATCAAAAGAGGCACAATCCTAATAGTGAAGAAATTTCTCATGCCAGTCCTAAATGGCCAAACTCTTATGCTGAGACTGTGACTCCATGTTTCTGATTCTCAGCCAGTGTTTATCCTACAAACCCCAAAAACCTTACATACAAAATTATTAGCTGTCATTCTTTTAAACCACAAAAATGAATGTCTATTCTACTCAACCTTCCCTCATAGAACAACCCTAGGAAACAACCCAGTGAACCTTTGTTGTAACACTTCTAAGGCAAGTATGCCTGTTCCTCAGGAAATATTTGGAGTGGTGCAAATGAACAAAGTGGTCCTAATTTCTACTTCTTTGTGTACTTCCTGATAGCCCTATTCTAATTTTACGATGGTTTTGCCTGGAAATATAAAAACTTTAACATCAACTCCAGGCTGACACTAAGTGCAGTACTGAAGGAGTGGTGAGATATTGGTGGTGCTATCTTTCAGGTGAAACATTATACCAAGGCCTGTCTGCTCTCTCAAGTCAGTGTAAAAGATTCCATGGTGCTACTTCAAAAAACAACAAGTAATGTATCACCTTGTCCTGGGCAATATTTATCCCTCAGTCAACATAAACAACAGAGACAATAATTTCTAGTGATATCACATTGCTGCTCGTGACAGTAAATTAGTTTTTGGTTTTTGAAAACAACGAATACATTTTGAAATGTACTTGTGGCTTTAGAGTGCTTTGAGTGTCATTAGATCATTAGGCTCTAACATAAATGCAAGTTTTTTTGTATGTTCCTCACAGCTTGTTGCCCTGCTTGGTTTTATATTGTCAGCAAACTTGAATATATTACACTTACTTCCCCCCATTGATATAGACTATATATAATGAGGTCTAAGTACTGATCTTTGCTGTACTCCACTAGTTACAGCCTGCCTTTCAAAACATTAAGAAATGTTTAATCCATGTTAAAACAATACTCACCAATCCCGAGTCTGGCAAATCTACATACAAAGATTCATTGGTCCCCCTCATCTATTTGACACACTAAAACCTCAAAACATTCTTACAAGATATTTCAGACTTGATTTCCCTTTTATAAAATCTTGTTGACTGTTTAATCATATTATAAACTTCCAACTGCCCCCATCCTTGTTAAGATTCTCTCACAGTGCGGTTATGCTATCTAACCCATAAGGATTATTCTGGAATCATAGGGTTTGTTCTGGAAAGTTGGAGCCAATGCATCTCTGCTGCCACCTTTTTAAAACCCTAGGATTTAGGTCATCAGGTCGAAGGAATTTGTCAGCTTTTAGTCCCAGTAACTTCTCTGGTACCGCTCTTGACTGTAATGAACTACTTTAATTTCCTCGCTCTCACTTGACCCGAGGTTCTTCCAATATTTCTTTGCGTCTCCTACCGTGTGCAGGCAGATGCTAAATATTTGTTTGATGTGCTGCCATTTTCTTAATATCCTTTATAACTTTTCTTGCCTGTATTCATGATTGCTAATCTCTCCTGTTCTACATCCTTCTTGAAACTCTGGTAATCTGAGTTTACTCTGAACCCATTTTCTCTCATACATTTCTTCTGGGATGACTGAAATTTACAGACTGAATTGTACAGATTTTTGTACAAAAATAGTACCAATAGACATGGAGCAAAGGCAAGAAAACTGAATTGAGGTGCAGTCATGATGAAAATGCAACATGGTATGAACCCGAAGGCCTCCTCCAGCTCCTAGGTTGTAATTAAACAGCAGACAAAACACAGCTGCAATTGACTAAACTAATACGAGATTCGAAGGGGCCCAATAACCTGTGTGTTCACTAATGCACCTTTAGAATAGGGAACTTTTCTTACCGTAATTCTCAATCTCTTCAGGCATATCATAATTAATAACATGCTGAATATCTGGGAAGTCCAAGCCTTTCGATGCTACATCAGTTGCCACAAGAACATCCTTCTTCCCCTCTCGGAATGCCTCAATGGCTTTTGTCCGCTCTTCCTGGTCTAGGAAGAAATCATATTAGATTGTTCAATCAGTTGCTATAAAGCTGTGGTATTAGGATGAGCTTATGCTCATCAATCTTCCCTGGCACATTTTACCATACACAAGCCAAACATCCTTCAATATCAGCTAATTTTTTTTATTCACTCAAGGGATGTGGGCCAAGCCAGCATTCATTGCCTATCCTTAATTGTTAACAGTCAATCACATTACTGTGGGTCTGGAGTCACATACAGGCCAGACCAGGTAACAATGACAGATTTCTTTCCCTAAAGGACATTAGTGAATCAGATGGGTTTTTTTTAAACAATCAACAATGGTTTCATGGTCATTAGACCCTTAATTCTGGATTCTTTACTGAATTCAAATTCCACCGTTTGCTATGACAAGATTTAAACATGGGCGCCCAGAACATTAGCTGATTTTCTGGATTAATAATCTAGCGATAATACCACTAGACCACAGGCTCCCTGAAAAAAAATCAAACTCTGAGGCCTATTTGATGAAGAATGGAAGACTTTCAAACTCAGCAACAAAATGTGTATCAATATTGAATTTTCAACATAAAAAAATTAGGGAAGGATTATAAATGGTGTCCAACTAGTAACACCTACATTCCAGGAATATTTCTTCAAAAATCCCAAGGAGCCTCACAAGGGTGTTATCAAACATTACTGGACACAGAGTCACGCATTAAAGCACATGACCAAGTTCATGGTCGAAGAGGTAGGGTTTTATGTAATGTCTTAAAGGAAGAGAACAGGGTAGAGAAATGAAGAGCATAGAAAGGGAACTCCACAGCTCAGGACCTTGGCAGTTGAAGACACAGTCAGTAATGGTGGAACAATTAAAATCAGGAATGCTTAAGAGGCCAGAATTATATCAGCATAACTATCTTAACAGGTTATAGAGCTGGACAAGATTACAAAGTCTGAGGGCAATGTGATGGGAATATCTGAAACAAGATAAAAATTGCTCAAAAACAAAAAAACTGTTTAACATTTTTATCTCTTTTTACCAATATTTAAGGATGAAAATATTAAATTTATGCTGTTTAACAGGAAGCCAAGGTAAGGAATTGAGCACAGGAATGATGGGGAATAAGAATTAGTGCAAATTATGATATGGATGGGAGGATTTTGTTAACCCAAGTTTCAGAAGGGAAGGGTGGAATTTGAGACAGCAACCAAGGAACCACGAAAATAATCAAATCCAAAGCTAACAGTGGTATGAATAAGGGTTTCAGTGTGCTTGATTTGAGGTCAGGGTGGAGTTAGGCAATATCAGGAGTGGACATTGACGATGTAAGGATTGAGTAAGTATGGAGCGAAAAGCTCAATTCAGGGTCAGTTACAATGCCAAGGTTGCAAACAGTAAGTTTCAGTCTCTGACCATGTCAGGGGGGACAAAGCAGAGTTTTCTGATGGAGGCCAAAAAATAGCTTCAGTCTTCATGCAGTTTCAAATCAAACTAACCATTGATAATATACTCACACAATCACTATTTTACATATGATCTGTGAAATAATATTAAAAAAATTTCCCTTGCAGGTACATTCACTTCAGAAACGCCAGACAGATGTGGAAATGGAAAAGTGAATTATGGAAACAACACTAGGAAATACCAAAACAACATCATTAACGTACAGCTGTTCATCATGTAACCGTATAAAATTTAAAATACAGCCTTTCATTATTTGTTATATAACCATTAAATAAAACGTAAAGTCATCTGTAGCATAACCAGAGATGGTGGAACACAAAATCGTCTTAAATTTTTTTTGCAACAAGGAATCATGTAAATATAGCACATCTTATAACCTGTAGTGAAAATACTTGTAAGTTGCATCCATTTTTTCATGTTTCCTGATGACTCAAGACACAATGAAGCCCGTCATCCCTCCACTTGTCCCACCAGCTGAGATTCAGGCTTCACTGACCTCCCGTTTGTCCCTACAGCTTCATGCCCTGTTGCCTGCTGAATTTGATTCAGGTTCTGCTCCTCTACCACTCCATAGGGTCTGCCAGATCCTGCAGTTCCACCAAGTGGCCACGAGCACAGCAAACCCCTAAGTGGGAAGAGTGATGGCTTTCCAAAGTATGCTCTCACTATTATCATTGGTAGAAATTTTCCAGACAGTCTCCTCCCGGCTTTGGCCACATTGCTGGCAACTATCAAAAAATTAAAATGGCAGAATTCCAAGTTGGAATTCCACAACATGGTGAAAATTTCTCACCCTTGGATAAAATACAGTCGTTATTTTCATTATATACGCACTGAAGTGTTTCAGAGTGAAGAAATCTGTCTCGTTTGCACAGAACGTTACACTCTCAGTTAGAGTTTCCCTATACTGAAGTATAAGCTGACCCAACTCATTATTTTCTCCATCTCTTCCGAAGATAATGCCTAGTGGAGTAGAGTTATGAGGATAAAGAGTCTATGCTGGAGCTTACCTTTCCCCCCGTGTATAGCAACAGCCTCCACACCCTTCAAGAGCAGATATTCATGAATCGCATCCACATCAGCTTTCTTCTCCGCAAATATCAACACCTAAAATGTATATCAATGCTGGCCATTAGACACCAATCTTCTCAGCCTTTACAAGTCCCCGTTCTCTTCACTTTGGCACAATGTCTCGGGAATTCACAGCTTAAATAAAAATACATATTTCCTGGCCAAGTTTCTGCAATGGAGAATGGAAACAGAAACAGAGACTGCTCGTATTCTCAGAGAAAGCTCAGACTGCAAGTTTGGGCACGTGAACAGCTTAGTATCTCAAACCATATCATTCTACTATTCACAAACCCACACACGTACACAGAGTCATACACACACGTACACAGAGTCATAGAGTTATACAGCACGGAAACGGACTCTTCAATACAACTCATCCACACTGACCAGGGATCCTAAATAAATCTAGTTACATTTGCCAGCATTTGGCCCATATCTCTCTAAATCCTTCCTATTCATGTACCCATCTAGATGCCTTTTACATGATGTAATTGTATCTGCCTCCACCATTTCTTCTGGCAGCTCATTCCATACATGCATGACCCTCTGCGTGAAAACATATTGCCCCTCAGGTCCCTCTTAAATCTTTCCCCTCTTACCTTAAACCTAGGCCCTCCAGTTTTGGACTTTCCCCACCGTAGGAAAAAGACTTTTGCTATTCTCCCTCTACATGCCCTCATTTTTATAAACCTCAATAAAGTCACCCCGCAGCATCCACGGAAAAGAGCCCCAGCCTATTTTGGTTCTCCCTATACCACAAACCTGCTAATACTGGCAACATCCTTGTAAATTTTATTTGAACCCTTTCAAGTTTAACAACAACTTTCCTCTAGTAGGGAGATCAGAACTCAATGCAGTATTGCAAAAGTGGCCTCACCAGTGTTCTGTACAACCACACCATGACATCCCAACTCCTATACTCAATGCACAGACCAATGAAGGCAAGCGTACCAAACGCTTTCTTCAACACCCTGTCTACCTGCAACTCCACTTTTAAAGAATTGTAGACCTGCAACCCTCGGTCTCTTGGCTTGGCAACACTCCCCAGGGCCCTACTATTAACTGTCTCATTCCTGCTCTAGCTTTTCTTACCGAAATGCAACATCTCACATTTATCTGAATTAAACTCTATCTGCCACTCATCAGCTCAATGTCCAATTGTACTCGGAGGTAACTTCCCTCACTCTCTACTACACCAATAATTTTGATGTCATCTGCAAATTTACAAACCATACCTCCTATATTTACACATGCACAGAAGACTTTACAGACAAGTAACACACATAGAGCGAAGTATACATAAATAAGCAAAAACGAGTCATCTCAACAAGGTGCACTGCAGCTTACCAACCTTTCAAATCACAATTTCTTACAGCTCAGAAGGACAGGGGCAGCTGATTTGTGAGCATTCTACTCAACTGCAAGATCCCACCCCCAAGTCAAACACCAGCACAAGTCTCTGTACAATCAGCTAATGGAAACAGGGTTTGAGTACCTTGCCGCTTTAACCTGGTAATGATCTTCTATGCTTTTATCAGATTTTCCCTCAACTTCTTTTGTTCCAAAGACAGCAACATTAGCTTCTCCAACCTAACCTTGCAGCTAAAAATTACCAACTGCTTGAACCATTCTGCACCCTGCAAAATATTTTCACATGTAAAGGGTTTGGCCGAAATTGGAAATAATACTGTAGCTAAGGTGTAAGCAGAGATTTATAAATGGATCATTGTTAACATCCCCACTTCTGTGTTGGTAACTCCTATTTATGAAGCCCAGGATTCCATATGCTTCACTCATTAAGCTCTCAAAATGTCCTGACCTCTTAAAAGATCATATATATGAATCCACATATCCCTCTGTCCCTGTTCCTAACAGTCAGCAAAACTCCTTGGGGAGATACAGCAGTATAACTTATATACAGGCTAGAGTTATCTCTGCACTGTTCCATCAAACACTCACTCCCAGGGCAGGTACAGCAGTTTGAATACTGAACTGAAGACCATCGGTCAGCAACGTGTTCTTCCTATGCCTGAGAGTTGACAGATGCATCCCACACTGGTAACAACAGGAGTATTTGTATATTGTGCCATAATGCTCATGAATTACTGAGTGGAATGTTTCATGACACAAAAGGATTTAATTGCCAAACTGGACTAGAGTGAAATGGTGAAGTCAATTACCGGAGGTGGTGTCTTCTGCAGACATTCCAGCAAGTACACCATCTTAGCTTCTTCCTTCACATATTCAACTTCCTAAACATAAGAAGACATTAGCTTGTCATTCATGTTGACCAACACTCCAAAGATATACACTGAAGGAAGAAATGTCATGGCACAATGGCTTAAAGTTTTCAATATGAACACCCCATTATCCAATTCCCCTGTAATCCTCTAGCCTCACCATCAATTTGAAAAGGAGAGACTGTTTTATTTTATTCATTCACAGGATGAGGGCATCATTGGCTAAGACAGCATTTATTATCCATCCCTAATTGCGAGTGGGCAGCTGAGAGTCAACCAAATTACTGTGGGTCTGGAATCACATGCAGGACAACCCAGACAAGGATAGCAGTTTCAAGGACAAGAGTGAACCAGATGGATTTTTCCCAACAATTGACAATGGGTTCATGGACATCATTTGACTCTTAATTCCAGATTTTAAAATTGAATTCAAATTCAACTATCTGCCATGATGAGATTGGAACCTGGGGTCCTAGAACAATGCTTGCGTCTCTGGATTAACAGTCGACCACTAGGTGATAGTGGTAACACCACTAGGCCATTGCCTTCCATTTTGTACCAATGTGAGCTGTGTAAGATTTTTCAGAATCACAGGTTATGTAAAAGAACTAAGTTAATCTTACACACCACTCCTTAATTCCTCTCAAAAGTTTTAGAGTGAATGCAAGAAATCACGTCATTTTCAAACATATATAGGTCCGAAAGGGATCCTTAGCTCCTCAGAGGTGCATGGCCTGGTTGCAGAGCCATACTGTGAAAGAACAGACATCCTATATTTGAGGCGGTGGCCAGAAAAAGGCATGCTCTTTAAAAGAATGGCCTGAAATAGACAGGGAAGAACATGAATGGAAATTTGGAAACAGTTGTCTGGTAATTTATTGGCCAACGCAATAATTTGGCAACAAGTACAAGAAAGACAGAAAGAAGCAAACAAGAACAAAAATGATAGGACTGGAGAGTAGCGCCAAAGAAAAACAGGGTGGAAGACGTAAGAGATGTGTGCAAGATGAGGTGGTGAAGGGTGCATGATAATGAGATCTTGGGACAGGGAGAGGAGTGGGAAGTATAGAACAGAACGAAAGAAAAAAGAATGGAATGTTATCATCTAATCTGGTTTGAAGAAATCCCTGGAGACCTGAGAATGTGGGTACAGGTGATGAATATATTAATTCAGGGTCAATTTGGTGTAAATTGGATGTATGAGAAGCTAGTAATCTGTCAGGGTGAGTTTTATGGAATGTGATTAACTAAAATAAAGCTCTCATTACAAGTGTGGACTTGAACTCGATTTGAATACATATATCTTTTTGTGTAAAACATAGAAAAGAGTCAATGAATGATGTTCAAAATATAGTTATTATTATTTGGTAAATATATTTCTTATTCATTATAAATTCATGAGGGTTAGGTCATAGCCTAGTGGTTTAATCGCTACATTATTATTCCAGAGATCCAGGTAATTTTCTGGGGACCTGGGTTTGAATCCAACCATGACAGATAGTGGAATCTGAATTCGGTACTAATCTGGAATTTAGAGTCTAATGATGACCATGAAACTATTGCTCATTGTCAGGGAAAAGCCACTTGGTTCACTATTGTCCTTTATAGAGAAGGAAATCTGCCTCCTTACCTGGCCTACATGCAAGTGCAGATCCACAACCATGTGGTTGACTCTTAACTGCACTCCAGGCAATTAGGGATGGACAATAAATGCTGATGCCACCAATGACACCCAATTTTTCAAAAATGATGTTGACTGTGGAATAAATATTGGCCTGGACTCCTGTGGTCTTTGAAATTATGCCACTGAATTTTCATATTAACTTGAGAGAAGAGACGACCTTGGTTTAAGCATTAAAATTTGTGCTTAAGTCCCGAGATTGGATCTGATCCCATAAGTTTTGACTCAAGAGGGATGAATTAAAGGTCACAAATTGACACCCACTCCACTAAACCAGAACTAACAGTGAAATAATACATCTTTCTTATTTAGCAGATGGACAAGAACAGGAGAATTTTCTGGAATAAAGCACAAGCTAGAAACTCTTAGTAGGTGCATCTGTTGAACTTGGGTAGAGTACCTCTGGATTGGGAGGCAGGAAGTCGGAATTTGGTGCTTGTAAAATGCTAGGGGGGAAAGCATCGTGTGGTCCTTTTAAAAGATGATGTGCTTTCTCTATGCTTAGAGATTTAAAAAAAGTCTGTGAGCAGCTTGAAAGTCCGCAAGTACAGAGAACACCCAAAGCGAAACATTTGTATCAAAAGGCTGTACAGTTAGCAGGCCAAGTAGCAATTCTGTTTTGATTCCAAGACAAGTTTTGAATTTAGCCAATCAATTTGAACCAGGCACTTAGGTACCAAAGACCAATTAAATATAAATCTGCTGGTTTTGACAACACAGAACCAATCCTATTATAAGAAACTGACATGTCATCAAGGGTATAAAAGAGGGGGCAATTGGGCAAAGACAGGAGAACTAACTGCCATATGCTAGAGTTAACAGCTCGCGAGAGAATCGCTGGCTCTCACTGGTTTCTCCAAGTCTTAGAGAAAGCACCGTCTAAGAAAAACTAAACGTACCAATGGCACAACCAGTTAATATTCCTGACAGAAGAACTGAAGGAGCAGGTGTTCCTGACAGAACATTCGACAGAGAAGGCACAGAGCATTCCGGAAGACATGTAATCCGGCTGGTGTTCAAGGAGCTATCATCTGCTCTCTGGATATTTCCTCAACTGTAATATTTTTCTGACTGCAGTGCTTCTGCTATCTTTCCAGTTGCAAATTCCAGCAAGAGATTTTCAAATTGTAACATGAAGTTGTTCAGAGTGGGACTTGTATTTATTGGAACAGCCTATTATTAGAAGCTTGTTTTATTCGGGAATAGTTAGTAGTTAGAAGGGATTTATTCAGTTTGTTAATATTTTAGTTAATTTGTTCACTGTTACAGTGGGATAAATAAATTGTTGCTGGTTGATTGTAAAGTGAGTGACAAGGATTTGTTTTAGTTAACCACTAGAAGTTACTGAAAAGCAGGTTATACCACTGTTCACACTCCTCTTACAGATTGTATGACAAGGTGCTCCTCAGTTGTAGTTTTCGAGGGTCGATCTCTGCTTTATAACAGACCTGTACAGGTCAAGGACCCTTCATCAAATTTACCTGAACCATTATTTATCTTTCTCTCTCCACAGATGCTATCAGATATGCTGAACATTTCCAGAATTTTCTTTTTTATTTCAGAGGTTGAGAGAGTTGAGAGCGTCAAGCTCCTAGGAGTGATGATAACTAACAACCTGTCCTGGACTCCCACATAGATGTGACGGTCAAAAAGGCACAACAACTTTCTTCTTCCTCACGCGGCTCTGGAAATTCAACATGTCCAGAAGGACCCGTACCACTTTTACAGATGCACCAAAGACAGCATGCTATCCAGGAGCATAACGGCCTGGTAAGGCAACTCCTCTGCCCAGCACCTTAAGAAACTACAGAAGGTTGTGCACAGCTCAAAACATCATGGAAGCGAACCTTCCATCCATGGACTCCATTTACACTGCTCGTTGCCACGGAAAGGCTGCTAACACCATCAAAGACCCCTCCCGCCATGGTAATGCTCTCCTACAACCTATTGTGTCAGGCAGAAGATACAGAAGCTTGAACACATGCACCAACAGGTTCAAGAACAGCTTCTCCCTTGCCATTATTATACTGATAAATGGACTCTCTGACTTCAAACAATGTTGATCTTGTTAATGTTGATCTTGCAGTGTAACTTGTATACCTCACTCTGTCCAGGCACCCTATGATCTGTATGTTCTTGCTTCCTATGATCTGCCTGTACGCTCGCAAACAAAGCTTTTCATTGTACTTAGATACGTGACAATAAATCAAATTAAATTAAATCCAATCAAATCAAAACAGATTTCTAGTATCCACAATATTCTGGTTTGGAATTTATGAAATCTTCTTTGACAATTTGACGTGGTACAGAAAGCAGCATGGGGCTATTTTAAATGTCTGTCAAATCTAAACTTTTAAAATGAAGCTCAGAGTAAAACTGTTGTCAGTTCTATGAAAAAGGTTCCCTTAAGCCCTCAGTTTTATACAAACTCACCTGGATCACATCAAGACTGGCAGCTCCTGCTCGACCAACATTGATGGTGATGGGCTTCACAAGGGCACTCTTAGCAAAGTTCTGAATCTTTTTTGGCATGGTAGCACTGAAAAGCAGAGTTTGGCGCTGGCCCTATGGGAAGGTATAAACTGAGGTCATTATGACCCAGAAAAAGCTTCAAACCAGACAGAGCACTCCAACAGACAAATTTACAAAATCAAAGCTTTTCTACCTCTGGCCACAGACTGGAACTCCCTCCTACCCAGTGCAAATCACCATCTCTTTTTAGGGGTTAGCTTTATGTTCCAACAGCATCTGGTGCATATCCATTACTGTTATGGCCACATGGAAGGTTGTTTGGGAAGGCTGAAGGGATTTTTTCCTACTAATTTCCCCTCTTCCAAGGTGGAAGGAAACAATCCCAGATGAGATCACTAAACTCACCCACATAACCACTGCATTCAGGGGAACACAGGGCTCACGATTTGGAGCAATACCTTAAATGATAGTATGCATGGGGGACAGAACTTGCACTAAGACATTATAACCAAGTCAAGGTGATAACCAGCCTCAAAGGTCCAGGGAAATAACAAAGCTGCCACTCAAAGTGACCAGCAACTCCCACCAGACAGCGTTTCACCTGAGAATAGGGTCAAATTCTGTCACAGTTCCCTTTCCCAAATTGAATATTTTGCCATCATCAACTATCTGAGCTCAGGTGCCAGTTGCCCATAAGACAGTAACTGACATCCATCAGTATAGAGACAAAGATTGGGAAAGCAAGCAGAGGGGATGATGGACGCAAAAGAGGTACTTCACTAACATCACCAAGTTTCCATGTAGATTTCCAGGGGTGTGCAGGTCTGCGGCAGTTGGGTGGTAATGATGGTGGGGATGGTATGATGGGGGTGTTGTACAATCCAATGTACCCATTTTTATTTTATTCTAAGTTTGCGTGTTTTTCCTTGGTTTACGTCATTAAGCCAGGGCCAGCTTAGCACCACTGTAATCCTTGCCTAAGTTTATCACATAGCCATAACACTCAAAGATAGTTGGGAAAAAATGACTACAGTCAACTGTCACCTTAAAGTAGGAGAAGATGGTGCGAATGTCCTCCTCAAAACCCATGTCAATCATTCTGTCTGCTTCATCCAATGCCAGGTAACGACAGATATCCAAACCTACCATCTTTTTTTGTAGAAGATCCATCAGACGACCAGGAGTGGCAACCATCATGTGCACACCTCTGCAGAATGATAGGTGACAAGCTATAAAACATGAATTGTTCATTGTACTGAGACATTTACTCCCCAGAACAAAATCCAAGGCAACTTCTTGTAACCCATGGTGCAAGAAGTGTAGCCCACCAGTGGTCATTGGGCCCATCACTCAAAACAGCTAATATTTCCTCACCAAATCGATTTCAACATTGTTGAGCCTTACTGACTGGGACTGATGCCAGTTCACATTCTCAGCTCAAACAACATCTAGGCAACTGTTTTGATGAAAAAATAAGGCTAACTATCTCCTCCAAAAATCCTTCCCTTTTGAGTTAAAAGAGGCAGCCTACTAATTAGAACCATGGCAAGTTATAGCTCAGGAGACCATTCAGCACATTGGATCTGTGCTAGCTCTTTGCAAGAGCAATCTTTGACTGCTTCAAGTATTTGTCAAGCTTATCCTGATGCAACTACCCCTAACTCCATACCCCAGGACTGTTCCATCCAAAACAACCCTCCAAGCAAAGAGATCTCTTCAAAACTCTGTTCTCATTCCAGGCACACATCTTTAAACTGACGATTCAATAACTGCCCAAACAGAGGAAACTCACTATTCACTGTATCAACTCTCTTTATCATTTTAAAAAGCTCAAGTATTGAAAATGTCTTCGATTCCTTACTTCTCCAATGGAAACAGTCCTAATATTTTAACGTAATTGCAGGTTCCCAACCTTTACTATCCGGGTGAACAGTTCTCTCCGGATTTAATATCATTTTCATAATGAGATACCTAAAACTATACACAGTACTATCATGGTGACCTCAGCAACTTTTTCTACAAATTCCTGGTTACTTCTGTACCAAATGACTCTATTAAAAGATTTAAACTTCTATTCGAATTTTTGATGGTTTCATAACTTGATATCTTCAGAAGTAACTTACACTAAAATGCCTCAAATTCTCCATATCTATCAGTTCCTTTACATTCGAGTTCTAAACACATTATTCATTCTTTACTTCCAAAAAGTACTTTTGTGAACAGTCCATTAGAGAGAAGCAATGGTATCGTGGCATTGCCAACTAGTAATAGAGTCCAGGTAATGTTCTGGGGACCCTGATTTGAAGCTGATCACAGTAAATGGTGCAATGTGATTTCAATTAAAGTCGAATGACGACCATAAAATCATTACTAAATATTGTAAAAATCCTAATGCCCTTTAAGGATGGAATAGGTCCCTAGCTTACATATGACTTCAGATTCACACCAATGTGGTTAATTCCTAAATGTTCTCTGAAATGGCCTAGCAGGCCATTCAGTTGTATCAAAACCCTCAGAAAGGTTCTTCTGGTGCAGTGGACCAGGAAGCCTAGGTTCAAGTCCTATCTGTTGCAGAGGTGTATAATATCTTCTCTGACAAGGTTATTAGAAAATAAATAAAAAGAGATCAGTTTTTAAGTACCAGTACCATGGGAGAAAAAAAATCAAAATGCTAAAAAGTCTCAAAAAAGTATAGAACAGGATGGACCACTTTAGAATCTTAACATGTACAGCATGGAAACAGACCCTTCAGTCCAACTCGTCCTGGTCAACCAGATATACTATATAAATCTAGTCCCATTTGCCAGCATTTGGCCCATATCTCTCTCAACCCTTCCTATTCATATACCCATCTAGATGCCTTTTAAATGTTGTAATCATACCAGACTCCACCACTTCCTCTGGCAGCTTATTCCATTAGCGCACCACCATCTGCATGAAAAGGTTGCCCCTTAGGTGCCTTTTAAATCCTTCCCCTCTCACCTTAAACCTAAGCCCTCTAATTTTGGACTCCCCCACCCCGGGGAAAAGGCCTTGTCTACGCTCTTCATGATTTTATAAACCTCTATATGGTGACCCCTCAGCCGCCTATGCACCAGGGAAAAATTGTCCCAGTCTATTCAGCCTCTCCCTATAGCTCAAACCCTCCAACCCTGGCAACATCCTTGTAAATCGTTTCTGAGCCCTTTCAAGTTTCACAACATCCTTCCTATAGTAGGGAGACCAGAATTACAGGAGCAAATTACTGCAGATGCTCGAATCTGTACTGAAAACAACAAATGCTGGAGGCCAGAGTGGGCCAGACAGCAAGCCAATGCCCCGAGTTCAGATGACTCCCCACCAGAGACGAAGCGAAGCGCGGAGGGGACAGCACCCACACCACAGCTTGGGTTTGCAGCAACTTAGCACCATCTGGAGCAAGTGTCGCAGTTGGCAGAGCTTGTGTAGGATACTAAAGTTCACAACAGTTATCCAGCCTGGTTGAACACTATCTGGACCAGGCACCAAGGTGCCAAGGGTGCAGAATGCAGATTGTCCATCACCAAAAGTAGGACCAATACTCACCAAGTTGGTCAAGTCCTACAGGAGTCTGTGGCAGGTGGTGAGGGAACCAACGTGAGAGAAAACCATACTTGACCTTTTCCACACCAAATCTCGCTGCCACAGATGCATCAATCTATGACATTACCAGTAAGTGTGACCACCACACTGTCCTTATGGAGATGAAGTCCCATCTTCACATTGAGTATATCCTACATGTTATGTGACACAATCACACAAGAGATACAAGTGAGACTGACTTCAAACAGATCTGACAACTTAAGACTAGGCATCCATGAGGCATTGCGGGCTAGAAATGTACTCAAACACAATTTGCAATCTCATAACCTGAACTAAACCCCGCTATCTCATTACCATCAAGTCAGGAATCAGCCCAGGTTCAACGAAGACTGCAAGAGGATATACCAGGAGCTGGAATCTGGCATACCCAAAAATGAGGTGTCAACCTGGTGAAGCTACAAAACAGAACAACTTGTGTGCCAAATAGAAAGTGATAGACAGGGCTAAGCAATTCCAGAACCAACTGATCAGAACTGAGCTCTAAAGTGCAGCCACACCCAGTCATGGATCCATCTTGGCCTCCTACAGAGACCCCAGCATCACAGATATGAGTCTTCACCATCTTCGATTGGGCCATGGGATAGCATGAAGCAGCTGGAGTCACTGGACACTGCAAAGGCTACTGGCCCTGACAACATTCTGGCAAAAGTACAAAAGAAGTGCAATCCAGAAACTGGCGCACCTATAGCCAAGCTGCTCCAATTCAACTACAGTACTGGTGTCTAGCTGACAATGTGCAAAATTGCCGTGGTGTGTTCTGTACACAAAAAAGGAGAAATGCAACTTGGTCAATTAGTCTTCTCTCAATCATCAGTAAAATAGTGGAAGGTGCCATCAATAGTGCTATCACCTTTTGAGTAATAACTGCTCATTAACGTTCAGTTTTGGATCTTCCAGGGCTACTCAGTTCCTGACCTCAATACAACATGGGCTCAAATATGGAGAAAACAGCTGAATTTCAGAAGGGAGGTGTGAATGACCAAAACTGGAGTCAACAAAAATGGGAAAATCTCTCCACTGGCTATAGACATATTTAGCAGAAGGGAAGATAGTAGTCGCTGCTGGAGGTCAGTCTTCTGAGCTCAAAGACCACTTTGCAGGTGCTCCTCAAAGTAGTGACCCAGGTCTAAGCTTGTTCAGCTGCTTCACCAATGAGGTCCCTCCATCACAAAATCAGTAGTAGGGACGTTCGTCGATGATGGCACAATAATCAGCATCATTTACGATTCCTCAGATACATGTCCACATACATCAAGACCATGCAAACCATCAGAGCTAGCAAAATTTTATGAACAAATCATGTGTGACTAATTTGCCAGAGTTCTTCAAAGAAGTAACAAGCAAGGTAGATATTGGGATCCTTCCAGAAGGTATTTGATAAGGTGCTGCACAAAACATTAATACACAAGATAAGATCACACGGAGTTAGGGATAGTTCATTAGCTTGGATTCAGAATTGACTAATCGACAGAAGGCAGAGAATCAGGATAAACAGGCCTTTTGCTGGTTGGTAAGATGTAACTAGCAGAGTGCCACAGGGTTCAGTCCTGAAGCCTCAACTATTTCGATCCATTTTAACGACTTGAATGTGGGGATACAAAGTATTAAAGCCAAATTTGTAGATTACACTAAAATAGGCGGGAAACTATGTTGCAATGAAAAAATAAGAAATTTAAGTTAGGTGAATGTTTAACGTGGATAAGCAGGAGGTTATCCATTTTGTTTGGAAGATTAGAAAGAAAATCTATTCACCAAATGGAGAGAAACTTCACAGTGCTTCAGTGCAGAGGGATCTGCATGTCCCCATGCACAAATCAGAGAAATCTAGTACGCAGGTACAGCAAGTAATAAAGAAGACATGTGAAAATCTGTCAGTTATTGCAAAAGGGATAGCGTATAAAACTGGAGAAGTGTTGAAGCAACTGTCAGAGGCATTAGTGAGACCAAACCTTGAGTAGTATGTACAATTTTGGTCCCCTTACTTGAGGAGGAATAGTTGCATTGGAGGCAGATCAGAGAAGGTTCACTAGGGGGTTCACAAGGGGTTTGTCTGATGAAGAGATAGTAGAGGCCTAAACTGCTCCGTCTCTAATTTAGAAAAATGAGAGGAAATCAAATGGAGATACATAAAATGCTAAAGGGGATTGACAAAGTAGATGTAGAGAGGATGTTTCCTC